TACATATTACATATACATAAAGAATATCTGTATATAAATATATTATATTAAGGCACTCAACTACTGGCCGGTACATCCGCGAGACTCTCCGGGGATTTCTTTATACAGGACTTACTGTACTCGTCCGGTCCGTGTACGTACACGGACGCGTCGTGGGGAAATAAAAAAGAAACCTCTATAACGTGTCCGTGGAGCCAAAAAGGTTAATTGAAATTAGGCGATTCGCTTGCTCCTATAGGCCGCTAACCGTAAATAAATTAATCTCGAGGTCTCGGATCGCTTCGACGGACAGCTATGTACAGATTTGAACACATTTTCGTTCGCCGGGCACCTCCACCGCGACCCGCCATATCCTTCCGTACTCCGATCATGTTACGATCCACCATCGTCAGTCCCATTAATCTTCTTCATCCCTCTAATCTCTTCCGAAAGAGACTTGTCATCTATCCTGCATCAGTCCAGCTTCTTCCAAGAAGCTTCTGCGGCACTCAACGGTGCTTCAAAACTTGGGACCAGCCCGTCTAGGGCTTGCCAGGTCGCCAGAACCCTCACAGCGACAGAGGCAACTCCGTTGGCCTCTTCACACCCAGCGTCAGGTCCAACGGTTTGCTCTTGGTGGTGGCCTCCTCCTTGGCTGGACTATCTCGATCGCAGTCGTTGTCGTTCGATCTGTTGTCCTCCTCGGACGACTGGCTAGGTCTAGGGGAGCTTCTGCTGGACCTGACGCTGAGGTCGATGGGTTCGTCCTGCTCGACCGCTAGACCACCCGGACTCGGGCTGACTAGCAGCAGGTCGCCTCCTCTAGGCGAGTGCTGGGACGCTGCTGGCGTGACCAAACCTGGCGGCGGGTAGACCAGGCCTAGACTCTGATGAGGATGGTAACCGGTCGTCAGTGTCACCGTAGCGTTGATCTTCCTCGCTGGGAAGTCCCTTTCCGAAAGTGTCGGAGACGCAGCGCTGGCTTTGAAGTAGCTGAGCGCTGAGTTACTCCTGGACTCGGTGTCCTGGCCGTCTCCACCGTCTACCGACGACGCGCCGCTGTCGCTAGGTGTATCCGCCGATCTCTTGTACGTCGGTAGGAACGGCCGGAACACGTCTGACGGGCTGGAAGGCACGCAGACCTCCTTTTGAGCAAAGTTCATGGGGAACATCGGCGACGCCGAGTGCTGTTGTTGCTGTTTGAAGAAGGGTGGAGGCGTAGTGTCTCTCGGAGGTGTGCTGGGTGGCTGCTGAGGATTGCTGACTCTCTCGCGCTCCTTCTGCCAAGCCAGCAGGCGCAGTTGGTTCTGGAGAGCCACATCGTCGGGGTGAGGTGACTTGTTGCCCCTTTCGCGCTCTTGCTTCAGCATCGCCACGTGCAGCAGGTGCGACTGGAGGGCTAGGTCCTCTTGACTAGGTGACGCGCGGTCCTTCCCGTCCTTGTAGACTCCGCTCGTTTGCTGTCCGGGTGTCTGCGGCAGGAAACCAGGCAAGAAGCCCGGGCCAAACGGTGATCCCGCGCCAGGCGTCACGTTTACGCTCTGGTTCCCGTTGGTTTGCTCCTGTAGGAGGCAGTGGATCTTGAACCAATTCGAGCGGCGGCCGTAACGCGAGCCCGACTTCGACATCCCGACCATCAGGCACTTGCGCAACCGGCAAGCCTTGCACGCGGTGCGGTTCTTCTTGTTGATCACGCACACGCCGCCGTTCTTGCATTCCGAGATGCTGCTCAGGTTGTTGTAGGTACGGCCGAAGAACGACTGTAATCAGAAAATACCGGATTGGTGAGTTCCGAGTCGGGGATGAAGATTGGGGCTGATGAATTTTCGGAATTTACGCGGAGAATTTCATGGAACGAGAGTTTTCCGCCGAGCATTCACGCGGGTGGCCTTTCCATCGCAGAATGACGATTGTTTATTGGGCATAAAATTTATAGACACTCTTCGGTTCTTTTTCCGTTTCTTTTGCTTTTCATCTCGTTTAGACTCCGCGCAGCGCGATCGAAGAAAATTCTATCGCATCGAGAGGCGCGGCCGGCGATCGTTTAGACTGATGATTTATCGCCTTGCTAATCAAGTTTTTCATGGAGCACGGGATCTTATCATTCGACGCATAGCGAGTGATTTCTTTTGACCGCCGCTAATAGACTAACCGAACACGCTCCTTCGGAAGCTCGGGTGCCGTTTATGACCTCCAATCGCGTCGCGTTTATTAATGGCTACCGCTGCCGTGCAACCGAGGCCACGGCCTGGCGAGATTATGATAATGTCGTCTTCATTTTAGTTAATTGGAATCCGGGGAAATCCGGTGTTTCCCTTCGGGAAATTTCACGCTTCGAGTGCCTCGCGCGCTTCGTCGCGAATATACGAGTGTCGTGGTTCTTGCCTGCGTTAAAATGTTCGCATTTTTTAGAAACTGTCTCTATTTCTGTTTTCCTGAATTGCATTATTACGATAATTGATTTCACAAGCGAACAATGAGTTTTAATGAAAATCGAAACGTTTCAAGTTGGTTTTTCAGTGATTGTTACTAATTAATGTTTCGAGCCTAACTTCGATGCTTTAATTTGATCGCAAACGAGGCGAGAGGTTTACTAATTTAATTGTATTATGTTTGACACACTTGTAGACGATTCAAGAAGTAAAATATGTAGTACAGTTGGAACGTGTTCGAGTAAGGCTCTCCCGATTTTTAAGTCGTTTTTCCGAACGGTAAAAAGTCTCGCCTGGAGCGGTTCTACCGATGATAATACATTTCCACCGTAGATCAACAGCACGGCGAGTTATTGCCACGAATTTTTGCCACGGTCTCTGCGAAAGGCAAGTCATCCCGGTAACTTCCTTACGGGGACAGCGAATGGAAGCAAATAGCGAATCGCGCGGCACAGAATCCGACGTTCTTTTCTTCGGGAATTCTGCCTGGTATACTTGGTGTCGTAAATCAATCGAAAATGAGTATTTTTTCAATGACGCCATAGTACCATTATCGTTCGAAGTACCTAACTTCTGCAAAACATCTTTTATCAAAATTAACTTCAGGGAGCATCCCTCGGTAAATGCGAGAGATCGTCGAACAAAACGACGTATCTATGGTTTTACGACATTGATCGACTATAAAATTAATCAACTACGAATATTATAAAATTCGTCGATCGATTAATTACAAACATTAGCCGTTGAAGGATATCAATTTAAAAAGTTTCGCAAGAGTCGGCAGCCCCAACAATTCGATCATTAAATAACCTTTAAAGTGGCGGACAAAGTAACATGGAAAGAAGCTGCTGAATATAGTTTGTACTTTATGCGTTCCGTAAGACAGCGATGAAAGGGAGAAGTTGGTCGCCGATCTTAGCATCCCCCGAAAAAATAAAACGGTTCCCAAGACGCGGAGGGGTATCGTCGTAAATTAGAACTCGATGCTGGCCGACTTCGAGGAGGTTTTATTGTCGGCCGACAGGCGTCCGACTTTACGAGCGGCCGTGTGCTCAATCTCGTGCGCCACCCTTGCCACCCCCGCATCGTTGCCTCTTATTCTAGGCATGCTAATTCTCGTGACGTGCGTAACATTAACCTCTGACGTTTAATCCGGTTGAAAACGCGGTCCGCAAGCCTTTGCGTCGGACCCTTTGCGGCGCACCAGCGGTCCTAGACGTGTATACAGGGTGTCGTTTAACCAATGGTCTAAGAATTAGATGATTCTACTTGAAAAACAATTAAATCATGAATCCACTTTTTCTCGAGGCATTCCGTTCTTCAAAATAATAAATTAAATTATTTTTGATAATATAATCAATCAGTACATCGCTTGTTTCGAGTGTCTGGTCTTGACTCGCTACTTCTACTTATCGCAAGGTGGGTATAACGAGAGTAAAGAGAGAGTAAAGTTAAAAATATATGGTATTTTTAATATATTTGATAAGATGAATACATATTCATTTAAATATGTGTAGAATGTTCGTGTCCCCGAGAAGAATAGATCGAAATAAGCGCAAGCAGTCTTGAGCATGAGCCGCGTCGAATGCAGGAACATGTTAACACAGAAACAAAACCCGCGAACCATACACAGCGCGCCCATATTTCATCGCGCACCGGAAACGCTCGGATTCTGGGCTTCACCTGACGCATCCACGTGGGCGGCCCGATAACGGTCCGAACCACCGAAAGCTCGGTTAGCGGTACGCGGTACTCTAAATGGGAGCGACGAATCATCCGGTGGGTATGCTCGAACAATTGGCTGGTGGCCGACATTTCAGTCCCGGTGATATTCAAAAATCATCTGTCTTGACTGCAGATGCGATGCAGTGTGCTGTAAGTAGGTTCGAACCTAATTATGCAATGAACATCAATAATTATTGCATACACTTTGTTGCATTCAGTGCATACAAAGCATACTCATTTCTACTTCACACGAATACAGTGTTCTGTGCTATTTGCTGTTTGCTATTTGCTGCCAAAACTACTTACACAGATTACATATACATCATAAATAATTTCACGTTTACAACAATCATTAAATATTTTCCTACTCCACTCTAACCTCCCTCAATCCCATCAGTCCCACTAAAAGCATCAAACAATCTGAAGAGTCCCTCTCAGCAATTAGAGTATCCAAGTTCCAAGACTTAAACACCTGTTGTTTATTAATCAAAGCAAGTCAGTAGAACACTGTACCCCAGCCGTGTACTTCACCATCCAGCAGGGCAGCTCTGTCGTTGATTAATCGATATCACGGGTAAGGAACGCCGGAAGGTTGACAAACTAGTAATGATCACAGTACACGAAGTCTAACCGTCCGTCCGTCCGTCCGCGAGCGGTACCGGATCGCGGCGCGGTGGCAATCTCTCAGCGGCGATCTTAGATCGGCCGCGGTCGGACGCGCTGGAAACGGCTCCCGTACGCCAGATGATCCCTGGCTGTCACCGCGACTGTGTGAAAGGGGTCACGGTGCCGTCCGTTGTGCACGCGAAAACCGGCACGGCCTCGGGACCGATCGCTTCCGCCTACGAAACGCTCATTGTCCGCGCTTGCAATATGATCTAGTGTACGCCGCGCGTTTCGTGCCTGTCTGCGTGTACGGCGGGCGGTCCGAGAGCGGGACTTTCGCGATATACGGAATTATTATACACGTATACACGACGGGTATATCTGTATACGCGCGGCGCATTATGTGTCGGGGACGGAGGGAAGCAGAGGCGGACAGCGCGCAGTCCGAGAGCGTTCCGTTAGAAAGCGTTTTCTTTTCGCGATCGGAATCGCCGCCGATGGTTTAAATCCCGGCCGGCCGATACCCGGTTTCTGGTTTTATGGAGAAACTCTGCTATGGGACTCGGACGGCGAGAACGGATAGATTGATTATTTTGATTAATGCCTCAATGGGAGATCACGAGACGCAGATAGCTGCGGTTGGAAAAGTCCCCAACAGTTTTGCGTCTGCGGGTGTTGAACTGTGAACCTGAATTTCACTCGAACTTGTTTGGACTCGGCGAACGAGAGTTGAATAGCGAGAGAGGTTTAATTGTGCTTGAACGGAAATGGGAGTTTCATGAGAATTTCTGTTGGAGGGGTAGCTGCTGCGGGTGATTCCGATGCGCGGCGAGAGAGAGCTTCTGGTGACTTCGATGCGTGGTAAGAGGTGTCTTTCGGTGACTTCGGTGCGTGGTAAAAGGTGCTGCGGAATTCTGATACGTGATGGTTGAAAGGAATGAATGTAATATTTTTAACTTGGAAATAATATATTAACTTCTTTTTTAATACAGTCGAGAGTAATATAAAATTAAACTTTTCTTTAAATTTTACAAGCTTTCTCTTTATCCAAATAAGTTTTTAAAGCTTCCTGAAGCTCTCGTAAGTTTGTAAATATAAAGACGTAGCCTTGAATTTCATTGCAAATGTTTAATATATAAATAAAATGAGATTATTCTTTCGAAACCTCAAAACTTCCACCCATAAGTCCACTTCTGACATTTTCGATCCGACAATTTACCACTTTCTTCCCTCAAATAATTAAACAATCTCGAAGTTCAGATTCGCGCAAAACGTGAGTGAAACGCTTTCGAGGTATCGGAAAGCAGCGCAGAATCGCGCTCGGGCGATTGCGTCGCCGAGTCGGTCAGCTGTGCGTATCTTGACCGTAGACAGAAAACAAGGTGGACAACGGGATCCGCGATGATTGCGTAAGAGCGTGCGAGCGCGTGTCCGCGCGCTGCTTTTCAAGTTTTTGCCGGTCCACGGGTCCGGTCGCGAATCACGTACCGGCAGCCGCCGCGAATCAAACTCGCCGCGCACGCCGTCGCAGAAAATTCTCCCGTGAAGGCGGTTGAAACGCGCGCCATTTAGGGGCCGGCCGGCTGCGACAAATCCGTCATGGACGCCGGAGATTATCACAAATCAGCCGGCATCCCCGGAATCCCGGACTGATTTGCAACGCCATATAAAACGGCACCCGGGGAAATCGGTTGTCCGTGATCGTGAAGCGGCAATCGCCGCGGGAAAGTTTGACAAATTGTCGACGGCCTGCACAAGAACACGTCGTGCCGTAGCCGGCACAACAAAAAACCGCTCGTGAAAATTCATACGGGCCTCGTTCCATTATTTTATTCCTGCGTCCGCGCGCGTTGTCTTGGCGTTTTCATTAACTCGGCAATTTTTAGGCGACGCGAGGCCTTGAATTCTAATGGGCATTCTTGACGCGTGAATGCAACGTATTCGATGCTCTCCTTTAGATTGAACGAAGACGCAAAGGCGCAAAGATGCTGAGAAAG